TGAAATAGAAGCATGATCAAATGTTTAGACACTCATTACAAGTTATTGCTACAGTTTAATGGTTCTTTGATGGTGACGACAGTGGAAAGAGGTAGTAGGGAGGGCGAGATTCTTAAAGCCAGTAAAATGGTTTTATCAGCAGGTTGAAGTATCTATTTCAATGTGGACTGGAATAGGAAACACCATTTCTGTTAAACATACTGTAAGTTTCTTTTATTTTCTTGAAATTCCATTAATAATGAATTGATCATGCATTTTATGTAGAGGCAGATCTTGAATGGTACAAAATGGCTTTCATTTAATTGTTATTTAGGTGTTTATGCAAATTTTATTATGGTTCAGTGTTCATTATATGTATGTATACCTTATATGGAATGGCAGCACCTGTATAGAAAGAGATCAGATATATATGTATACCTTATATGGAATGGCAGCACCTGTATAGAAAGAGATCAGATATATATATATGTATACCTTATTTGGGATGGCAGCACCTGTATAGAAAGAGATCAGATATATATATGTATACCTTATATGAGATGGGTGCACCTGTATTGAAAGAGATCAGATATATATATGTATACCTTATATGGAATGGCAGCACCTGTATAGAAAGAGATCAGATATATATATGTATACCTTATATGGGATGGGTGCACCTGTATTGAAAGAGATCAGATATATATATGTATACCTTATATGGAATGGCATCACCTGTATAGAAAGTTATATATAACTTTAGTATTGACTCTCACTCCTTTATATTATTTGATTAAACTTGATGTTGTCTGCTAAATTTAATGTCCAAATTTGTATGCCGTGTTATTAAATGTTGACAAATACTCGTCTATTCTTCAAAACACATCAAGAAAATGAATTTTCAAAAAAGAAATTTTTCTGCAAATCCCAAACAACCAGATTTTTGATAATATCTATACAGAGAAGACCAATTTCAGAACCTTTTCCACTTTCAGGTATAAATTTTGTTTAATATCCAAAGGAAATTAACAAAAGTGCTCTCCATCCAGTCACCCACCTCTAAACCTCCTGTCTGAATTCAGTTGTGTGGGATTTTCTGTATGCTTTCAGAAAGTACAAGAAAGTGTCTGTTTATACATAGGTGTTCCTTCTAGCTCTGTGTCCAATAAGTAACCTTGATGCCTGTTGGGTCCGACAAGGTGAATCTAACATTCAACAATTTACAAAGTTAATTCTGATCTTGTCTCTTCCTAAGTTAAAGAAACAGAACATGGCATTATCTTGTTTTCTCTGAGTTGTTTGTATAGCTAGAGACTGGACTGTGTGGAGATTAACTGTACCAATCTGGCGCCGATGTCATCAACACTTTTGTTGGTACCTTCTTCTTGTTTTCCAACATGTAATTTCTCTGTCAGTTTGTACATTGTGTACTGAAATAAGTGTTACCATCTGGTATCAGAGTCCCTAAATGTTGGCACTATGGTTTTGTTTCTGTAACATATCTAAGACAGGCTACAGTACAGATGAGGGGTACCATCTGCTGGCACCGTCTCACTAGCCATCTGTCTACACCTTAATATTCTGTACAATCCCTGTCAGCTATACCTGTAACAATGCTCGAACAATTTGAATGGAGTAAAACATGCCTTCCATTCCTCTGTTGTATCCCACTGCATGTGTATTGGGGGAGATGTTGAGTGTTCCACATGTATTCCTTTCTACTGTCGTCTCACAGATTCCCACAGATTCCGAGGTATTGCAGCTATTGAGACGGAAACAATACTGTATAAATTTAAGTTTAGGTCAAAATGTTTGTGATCTTCTTTTAAAATGATCAAATTAGATTCTTATCGAATTTTAAAATTTTGTGTTCGTGAAGTAAAGCGATGTCTTATAGCCACTAGTCCTTATTTCACAATCATGTTGTTGTACCGTAAAAAAGCAAAAATATCAGGAAATTATCAGGAAAGATCGTTATAACAATAACCGACATCTTTTCTATGTGTCTTCATATATAGACCAACGTTCTGTTGTGTGTGATTTAAGTGAATCATTGAGATATATGATAGATGTATACTTCAGTGTTGGTGATGGTGAAATAAGATTGTTTTACATCATTGTCCTGATCTATTACATCACTGGGTAAAATGTGTCTTCATTGTCTCCCTTGGTGCCTATATGATATCTTGATAGCTAATTGAACTTTGAACTTACATCACTGGTCCATCTGATGTACATGATGAAGTATGTGATGAAGTGATGAAGTATATGATGAAGTATGTAATGAAGTATGTGATGAAGTATGTGATGTATGTAATGAAGTATGTGATGAAGTAGGTGATGAAGTATGTGATGAAGTGATGAAGTATGTGATGGAAGTATGTGATGAAGCCTACAAAGTTGTCCATATGTAGGATTTTATTAACACTGCTGTAGTAACACATCAAGAAATAGATCCTGTCTATAAACAGCCTGACTCTGGCCGCTCAGAGGTAGAGTGAACTAGTAGTTAGCGAGAAATTCTAATTGCTGCCACTGAACAAACAAGAACATTAAAGATAAAATTAACACTTAAGTTATATTAATCTGACATGTCTCAACATACCACTGTGAATTGATCAGCTAATCATTATCATCTCTAACCAGCACTGTACAACAACTGGGACCTGGTGTATGGAGGGTCGTTTAGAAGGATATTTGTGGTACCTCTGTCTGTAGTCCCCACAATTATTGATTCTTCAGCTCAGCTGTGGATTCCATACCTTGGCAACTCATTTATTATAGAAACAAATACACTCCACACTTTTTATACGTCTGCAGGCTTTGGGAGTTTTTAAGTGAAATCTGCAAAAACACAACATTGAGTCAGCGTATAACTTGTGGCTTTTATAGGTGTGCGCTTGATTCTATTGGATTTTCTGACTTAATAATGAATCATGATAAGGTGTACGTTTAAAATGGTTTTATAAAAACCCTGAGGATAAAGTGCAATTTTAAACTGCAACAAAGTTATATTATCAGGATTGTTTAGGGTAGGCATATTGTCTGGGTTGTTCAGGGTAGTGATAATGTCTGTATTGTTCAGGATAGTGATATTGTCTGTATTGTTCAGGGTAGTGATATTGTCTGTATTGTTCAGGGTAGTGATATTGTGTGTATTGTTCAGGGTAGTGATATTGTCTGTATTGTTCAGGGTAGTGATATTGTGTGTATTGTTCAGGGTAGTGATATTGTCTGTATTGTTCAGGGCAGTGATAATGTCTGTATTGTTCAGGGTAGTGATAATGTCTGTATTGTTCAGGGTAGTGATATTGTGTGTATTGTTCAGGATAGTGATATTGTCTGTATTGTTCAGGGTAGTGATATTGTGTGTATTGTTCAGGGTAGTGATATTGTCTGTATTGTTCAGGGTAGTGATATTGTCTGTATTGTTCAGGGCAGTGATATTGTCTGTATTGTTCAGGGTAGTGATATTGTCTGTATTGTTCAGGACAGTGATATTGTCTGTATTGTTCAGGGCAGTGATATTGTCTGTATTGTTCAGGGTAGTGATATTGTCTGTATTGTTCAGGGCAGTGATATTGTCTGTATTGTTCAGGGCAGTGATAATGTCTGTATTTTTCAGGGTAGTGATATTGTCTGTATTGTTCAGGGTAGTGATATTGTCTGTATTGTTCAGGGTAGTGATATTGTGTGTATTGTTCAGGGTAGTGATAATGTCTGTATTGTTCAGGGTAGTGATATTGTCTGTATTGTTCAGGGCAGTGATATTGTGTGTATTGTTCAGGGTAGTGATAATGTCTGTATTGTTCAGGGTAGTGATATTGTCTGTATTGTTCAGGATAGTGATATTGTCTGTATTGTTCAGGACAGTGATATTGTGTGTATTGTTCAGGGCAGTGATATTGTCTGTATTGTTCATGGTAGTGATAATGTCTGTATTGTTCAGGGTAGTGATATTGTGTGTATTGTTCAGGGTAGTGATATTGTGTGTATTGTTCAGGGTAGTGATAATGTCTGTATTGTTCAGGGTAGTGATATTGTGTGTATTGTTCAGGGTAGTGATATTGTGTGTATTGTTCAGGGTAGTGATAATGTCTGTATTGTTCAGGGTAGTGATATTGTCTGTATTGTTCAGGGTAGTGATATTGTGTGTATTGTTCAGGGTAGTGATAATGTCTGTATTGTTCAGGGTAGTGATAATTTTTGTTGTTCAGGGAAGTGATATTGTCTGTATTGTTCAGGGTAGTGATAATGTCTGTATTGTTCAGGGTAGTGATATTGTGTGTATTGTTCAGGGTAGTGATATTGTCTGTATTGTTCAGGGTAGTGATAATGTCTGTGTTGTTCAGGGTAGTGATATTATCTGTATTGTTCAGGGTAGTGATAATGTCTGTGTTGTTCAGGGTAGTGATATTGTCTGTATTGTTCAGGGTAGTGATAATGTCTGTGTTGTTCAGGGTAGTGATATTGTCTGTATTGTTCAGGGTAGTGATAATTTTTGTTGTTCAGGGTAGTGATATTGTCTGTATTGTTCAGGGTAGTGATAATTTTTGTTGTTCAGGAAGTGATATTGTCTGTTGTTCAGGGTAGTGATATTGTCTGTATTGTTCAGGGTAGTGATAATTTTTGTCTGTATTGTTCAGGGAAGTGATATTGTCTGTTGTTCAGGGTATTGATATTGTCTGGTTTGAGGTTTCTTCACTTGTTGATGTTTTACTATAGATAGTTTGAGATGATTATGTAGTAGATTATAATCTCATCAGTGGAAGATTTTGATGATTTGTCAGATAATGACACTTTAGATTGCTATAAAGGCTGGTAATGTTGTGGGGTTGAACAGAGGAAGATAAACCCTTTAGATGGAATGAAGTAAACAATATATCTTTCTAACTTCTAGGAACAGTATTTTGCATTTAAGTTTTATTTGTAAAGCTAAACAGTATTGAACCCTATAAAATACTATTTTTCAGTTTTAGAATGTATCCAAATAATTGATACATTTTCTCTAAAAAGGTTAAATGTTGTTTACCCCCTCCACCCAACCTACTCCCACCCCTTCCACTGCTCCCTCCACCCCACCTACTCCCATCCCTTCCACTACCCCCTCCACCCCACCTACTCCCATCCCTTCCACTACCCCCTCCACCCCACCTACTCCCATCCCTTCCACTACCCCCTCCACCCCACCTACTCCCATCCCTTCCACTACCCCCTCCACCCCCCACCCCCTCCACCCCACCCCACCTACTCCCATCCCTTCCACTACCCCCTCCACCCCACCTACTCCCATCCCTTCCACTACCCCCTCCACCCCACCTACTCCCATCCCTTCCACTACCCCCTCCACCCCACCTACTCCCATCCCTTCCACTACCCCCTCCACCCCACCTACTCCCATCCCTTCCACTACCCCCTCCACCCCACCTACTCCCATCCCTTCCACTACCCCCTCCACCCCACCTACTCCCATCCCTTCCACTACCCCCTCCACCCCACCTACTCCCATCCCTTCCACTACCCCCTCCACCCCACCTCTCCCACCCTTCCACTACCCCCTCCACCCCACCTACTCCCATCCCTTCCACTACCCCCTCCACCCCACCTACTCCCATCCCTTCCACCCCCTATCCCTTCCCCACCTACTCCCTCCCTTCCACTACCCCCTCCACCCCACCTACTCCCATCCCTTCCACTACCCCCTCCCCCACCTACTCCCATCCCACTACCCCTCCACCCCACCTCCACCCCACCTCTCCATCCCTTCCACTCCACCCCACCCTCCCACCCTTCCACTACCCCCTCCACCCCACCTACTCCCATCCCTTCCACTACCCCCTCCACCCCACCTACTCCCATCCCTTCCACTACCCCCTCCACCCCACCTACTCCCACCCCTTCCACTACCCCCTCCACCCCACCTACTCCCATCCCTTCCACTACCCCCTCCACCCCACCTACTCCCATCCCTTCCACTACCCCCTCCACCCCACCTACTCCCATCCCTTCCACTACCCCCTCCACCCCACCTACTCCCATCCCTTCCACCACCCCTTCCACCACCCCCTCCAATACCCCCTCCACCACCCCCTCCACCCCACCTACTCCCATCCCTTCCACTACCCCCTCCACCCCACCTACTCCCATCCCTTCCACCACCCCCTCCACCCCCCACCTACTCCCACCCCTTCCACCCCCCTCCACCCCACCTCTCCCATCCCTTCCACTCCCCCTCCCCCCCACCTACTCCCACCCCTTCCACTACCCCCCCCTCCACCCCACCTACTCCCACCCCCCCACCTTCCACTACCCCCTCCACCCCACCTACTCCCATCCCTTCCACTACCCCCTCCACCCCACCTACTCCCATCCCTTCCACTACCCCCTCCACCCCACCTACTCCCATCTCTTCTACCACCCCCTCCACCCAACCTACTCCCACCCCTTCCACTACCCCCTCCACCCCACCTACTCCCATCCCTTCCACTACCCCCTCCACCCCACCTACTCCCATCCCTTCCACTACCCCCTCCACCCCACCTACTCCCATCCCTTCCACTACCCCCTCCACCCCCTCCCCCTTCCACTACCCCCTCCACCCCACCTACTCCCATCCCTTCCACTACCCCCTCCACCCCACATACTCCCATCCCTTCCACTACCCCCTCCACCCCACCTACTCCCATCCCTTCCACCACCACCCTCTCCACCACACCTACCCCCACCCCACCCTAAAATCACATTCACATGTAATTAAAAAATAAACACAGTAGAGTCATATCTAACTCATTCATCATAAAATGGGCTGTAGCTTCTAGGTTTTATAAGAAGATTATTGAATTGTCACTGTACATAGCAGAAGTCAATCAAATACATATAACTCTATGATCTAAAGATCTGTCTGATATTACCATGGTAACAGATTTATTTGTAGATTTTACCACTGATGTTGATATATCACTGAGGTTGATATATCACTGAGGTATCACTGAGGTTGATATTATCACTGAGGTTGATATATCACTGAGGTTGATATTATCACTGAGGTTTATATCACTGAGGTTGATATATCACTGAGGTTGATATATCACTGAGGTTGATATATCACTGAGGTTGATATTATCACTGAGGTCGATATATCACTGAGGTATCACTGAGGTTGATATTATCACTGAGGTTGATATTATCACTGAGGTTGATATTATCACTGAGGTTGATATATCACTGAGGTTGATATATCACTGAGGTTGATATATCACTGAGGTTGATATTATCACTGAGGTTGATATATCACTGAGGTTGATATATCACTGAGGTTGATATATCACTGAGGTTGATATTATCACTGAGGTTGATATATCACTGAGGTTGATTGATATTATCACTGAGGTTGATATATCACTGAGGTTGATATATCACTGAGGTTGATATATCACTGAGGTTGATATTATCACTGAGGTTGATATTATCACTGAGGTTGATATATCACTGAGGTTGATATATCACTGAGGTTGATATATCACTGAGGTTGATATATCACTGAGGTTGATATATCACTGAGGTTGATATATCACTGAGGTTGATATATCACTGAGGTTGATATATCACGGAGGTTGATATTATCACTGAGGTTGTATTATCACTGAGGTTGATATATCACTGAGGTTGATATATCACTGAGGTTGATATATCACTGAGGTTGATATATCACTGAGGTTGATATTATCACTGAGGTTGATATATCACTGAGGTTGATATATCACTGAGGTTGATATATCACTGAGTTGATATATCACTGAGGTTGATATATCACTGAGGTTGATATTATCACTGAGGTTGATATATCACTGAGGTTGATATATCACTGAGGTTGATATATCACTGAGGTTGATATATCACTGAGGTTGATATATCACTGAGGTTGATATATCACTGAGGTTGATATTATCACTGAGGTTGATATTATCACTGAGGTTGATATTATCACTGAGGTTGATATATCACTGAGGTTGATATTATCACTGAGGTTGATATATCACTGAGGTTGATATATCACTGAGGTTGATATTATCACTGAGGTTGATATTATCACTGAGGTTGATATATCACTGAGGTTGATATTATCACTGAGGTTGATATATCACTGAGGTTGATATTATCACTGAGGTTGATATATCACTGAGGTTGATATTATCACTGAGGTTGATATATCACTGAGGTTGATATATCACTGAGGTTGATATATCACTGAGGTTGATATATCACTGAGGTTGATATTATCACTGAGGTTGATATATCACTGAGGTTGATATATCACTGAGGTTGATATATCACTGAGGTTGATATTATCACTGAGGTTGATATATCACTGAGGTTGATATATCACTGAGGTTGATATATCACTGAGGTTGATATATCACTGAGGTTGATATTATCACTGAGGTTGATATATCACTGAGGTTGATATATCACTGAGGTTGATATATCACTGAGGTTGATATATCACTGAGGTTGATATATCACTGAGGTTGATATATCACTGAGGTTGATATTATCACTGAGGTTGATATATCACTGAGGTTGATATATCACTGAGGTTGATATTATCACTGAGGTTGATATTATCACTGAGGTTGATATATCACTGAGGTTGATATTATCACTGAGGTTGATATATCACTGAGGTTGATATTATCACTGAGGTTGATATATCACTGAGGTTGATATTATCACTGAGGTTGATATTATCACTGAGGTTGATATTATCACTGAGGTTGATATATCACTGAGGTTGATATATCACTGAGGTTGATATTATCACTGAGGTTGATATTATCACTGAGGTTGATATATCACTGAGGTTGATATATCACTGAGGTTGATATATCACTGAGGTTGATATATCACTGAGGTTGATATTATCACTGAGGTTGATATTATCACTGAGGTTGATATATCACTGAGGTTGATATATCACTGAGGTTGATATATCACTGAGGTTGATATATCACTGAGGTTGATATATCACCGAGGTTGATATATCACCGAGGTTGATATATCACCGAGGTTGATATATCACTGAGGTTGATATATCACTGAGGTTGATATATCACTGAGGTTGATATTATCACTGAGGTTGATATATCACTGAGGTTGATATATCACTGAGGTTGATATGAGGTTGATATATCACTGAGGTTGATATATCACTGAGGTTGATATATCACTGAGGTTGATATATCACTGAGGTTGATATATCACTGAGGTTGATATATCACTGAGGTTTGGATCAAACTGTTAAGCAACCATCTTAATCCATTGAGTTTTAATGCCATGTCTGTAGATTAAGTGGAGAAAACAGCGATGTCTGTTTTATTTAAATCTTGATATATGGACATACCATCTACAGATAATGATGAATTCTGAACATCTTAAGAATTTAATTCTCAGGAGAAGTGCTTATAATCAAGATGCATAATACTCCTTCCTTAAATTCATTGATCAAGTTTTCAGTGGAAGTAATTATTTTCCGTCCTGTGCCACTATCTTAGAGCGATGTTGAAGTGAAAATTTCTCATGGTATTGATTGTGTCTGAACCTTTTCCCCCTACTAGGCCGTTCCATTGGAATTAATCCACACTGTTATCTGTGAAGAGGCTGTTCCATGAATTATGTTTTAGGGATGAATGGTTGATGTATGTATTATCGGGCTGTGTAGAGTGCCACTAAAGGACACAGTTACATCAGATTTAGAACATATGTTACGCTACAGAATCAAATCTTTTCAAATCTAAACTACAGATACCATGGAGACATTAAAAATAAAGTAGAACATTTAAACCAGGATACCATAAATAATATTTGGGAATCTTGTAAAATCCAAAATATGGATACCATGGAAACGTTTAATATTATTTAGAACACTTCAACACTGATACTGTGCTACAGACAAGTTTTGTAGAATCAGAAAATAATGTAAGAACACTTAATCCTGGAGTCTGATTACACAAATTGTTGATCATTTATATTCTGAAACAAGGATCTTTTACCACAATATAGATTTCCTTATGCATGTGTCAGAGCATGGACATGGCCTGGAAAGTGTCGGTGTTCATAGGTGCATGAATGCAATTAATTCTGGATAAGAAATGACAAATTTCATATTGCAAGACAGACAGAGAAATTAACGGACAGGAAAAAACAGAACAGAATATTTTATGAAGAGAATGAATTTGTGGATAACTGTTGATAGGAGACTTGATCATCTGGTCTGACATATGTGGATATCAATGTATAACAGTTTATAGGTGGTATTATACAGGAGAGATCACTGCTGTACCCATTCTGATGACATCCTGTTGAATGAACTGGTTTGATCTTTTCCAAAGACTGCCAAATGCATGCTGATGACATTCTGTTGAAGCAAAACCTTATGCTTAAAGTATCTGTATTAATACTTAAACACCAACCCAAGTTCTGAATGTTTATGTAACGTTGCAGCTGTTTTTCCTTGAAGAATTTCCCTCTAACTGCCAGTAGAGTTTGTGGTTTGATGGAGGAGAGATGTGTAGGTACACACCTCTATGTTTAGTAGATGTTGTATAACAGTCTCGGGTCTATTTATAGAAATACAGGCAAATTATATGAATTATCATACTTAAATGTCAGCTATAGGGAATTAAGGAACAGTGAAAATGCAAACCTGAAGTCTGTTTCCAATTTCTACAGCTAGTTAATGATAATGCATGTAATCATTTGAATTGAAAGTAATATTTTAGATTTGTCACTTTTGAACAAAACAAGTAACAAAGGTTGAATGAATGTTACTTCTGTTTAATCACACATCAAGTTTAATGCTGGCGTGTATGTATACTATAAAAGGTTGTCAATAAAGGTCAAAGTAACAGTATCACATTTCTGTCAGTGAGAGGTCAGAAGGTCAAGTAACTGTACCGGGTCAAGGGGCACAAGGTCAGGTCACTGTACCAGGTCAATGGTCACCAAATATCACTATAAAATTTAGCTTTGACATTAGATAAGCTTGTAACTACCTAATGAATGCTGTATACTGTTTTGTGTTGTCACACGCACATAGGACATACTGTTCTCTACTGCAGTTCATAGGTCAATGAACAAAGTCACATGTGGAGTATAAAACTTTGTTATTGGAGAGGGTGTTCGTTATTTGAACAGCATCATCGGATAAAGTGTTGATAAATGGTAACATATTCAATGAATTCAACACATATCTGCTGGAATATAACACCATCTGCTTTGTGAATATTCCTAAGTATGGTTAGCATATTGTTGGCAGTAAATTCATATATCAATTAATTCCATTATGTGTTAAAAACAATGTATTATCTTGTTATGTGACTGCTTCAGAAAATGTTCAGATTGACCACGTGGAGAGAATGTTCACCAACCAAGGAAGATAGTACTTTACAGTTATAGCTACCATAGTGTTTTCACATGCTGATTTTTCATTGGCTATTGACTGATGAGTGACTTTGATTTGGGGTTTTATCCCAGAAATGAAAAGTCAACAAAATATGATGATGCATTCCTACGAGCAGTTTGTGGAATGTAGTGATGCATGGCGATGTTCTAGACCGGAGATAACATCGTAATCTACAAGAATGTACTACAGATTTTGATAGACATATCCTAAAATGAAAGAAAATCATCTTCCACTTTTTACGACAATATACATCTTCCATCATGATAGCCGTCAATTGTTTACTATAGAATGTTATAGGCTGTA